AATCTTCTTTTAATTATTATTTAAATTTAATAAAATCAAAATTAACAATTTTAATCTTTCAAAATATTATTTAAATTATCTCAAGATAAACAAATTAGATAAGAAAAAAAAAAAAGAAAAGAAACAATGACCTCCACTAACATACCATTCATGTATTTAAAACAATGAAAGCTAGCAACTAAAAAGATCAACTAAAGAATGGATTTCTAGGTGTTGAGGAGAACAATGCAACATTTAAAACCATAGCAAAAGATATTCAAACTGAAGAGGTAAAGATATTCAAATTGAAGAGGTAAGTAACTTATAAACCCAATCCTCCTTCCTTCTTCGATGATTTACAACAGTTAATAAAAAAGATAACTTGTAAAAAAACTCAAGCTAAACAGCTCATGTTTCTATCTTATATTAGGAATCAAATGTAGCACTATCACAAGAGCAAAGCAGCAAAGAGAAAACAGCTAATGAAGTGTCTGACGAGCAGGTTCCAAGAGAAGTAGATATGGTTGAGAGCAGTAGGAAACCAGCTTCAACTGGCACTTAAATTGCTCTGCTAGAGAAGCTGAATAGAGTGGTAGAAACTTTTACAAAAGGTGAAGTAAGAGATCCGGAACCTGAAAATGCCAAAGAGACAACTTTCACTAATGCTGGCACAAGGTTGTAGCTAATCAACTGATAATAGAGAAATATAAATATAAATATGGAATTGTCTACTAATTGTTTCCGATGAACGAGAAAAAATACTTCTAATTGTACTATTTTTAAGGCCATGAGCAAGAATATGCAAGAAAAGTGCTACAATTTCCTTAATTGTCACATATCTTGTGGCCACTAGTCCACCTTTCTCCACTAAAACATCACACAATTTCTTAAATGCTTGCCTAGTAACACGAAGTTGATGCAAGCAAACTTTTTCATCATCTAATAATCTAATCCACATCTTCCTCCGATAATCCCTTACATTTTGATCACATAATCGAAGTTCTCTATACCTATGCTTACAACGATGACAAATAGCAACAAGTATAAGAAAGAACTTCATAAGCAATAATAAAAACTCCATATCTTCTTGCTCATTTTCCTCAATTTTCTCTCGAGGACGTTTACGTTGAATTGACAAACCATTGTCACCATCAACCATGTTTGCCTATAAGAAATTTATCATGCATTCATGAAGAAAAACATGTACAACCCACTCCACATGTTCTCAACTAGAAAGCTGACACGCACAAGCAAATACCAAACCCACCTTTTTTGCTTAAACAAATCATTTATTTATTCCTACACTTAATACGTAGCTTTTCCAGAACCTTTTAAAGGAAATACTTCAATAAGACACCATCAAGAAGATAGCTCAAAAGCAGCGCCAGTTATGCACCTATACAATAATTTTAAAATACTCCATATTTAAAGAATTAAACCCTCAAATACCAGCAATCATGCTTACAATACAATTTTAGGTTGAGAAAGGGGAAAAGCAACAAAACCTTGAGCCCAGTGAACAACATCAAACATTCAAAGAGGAAAGTTGAGCTTCTCTAGAAACAAAAGAAAAGCAGAAAATTTCTAAAATTTTTAAGATACAAGTAGCTCACAGATGCATTATCCAAAATTTCTAAGATACAATGTCCACATTGTAACATATTTCAAAACCTATAACTTCATTCCTCATATTAATAGAAAGCACAAAATTTTAAGAGTGTTAGTAATTTTAAGAGTAAAACTCAAAATCTTGCATGTAACTTCAAAATGAATTTTTGCAAGCAGTGCTGCTTCAGTTTTAAAATGCTACTTATGAATTCTTCTGTTTTGCCCTATCCATAAATGATATATAGCAGCATTTCAAGATGGTTTGATTAAAGTTTTATGTAAAGACTTTCTTTCAAACTTTCTTGCCAAGCCAGGCTAATAAATCCTACCATGAGTCTATCAAGAGGGTGCTTGTGATGCAGCGCTAAGTTCCTGCTAAATGCACTTTGCGTATCCACACTTAAAAAATAAATGTTAATTTGTTTTTGGGTCACACTTACATAAAATGCAAGTGTCATCAACATTTTGTGTCCACTATTTCTGTCTAACCTTGGTTGTGAGTCTATTAAGGGTAGCTAACAAATTTATGAAATTGTACTTAGGTATTGCATAAGAGTACCAAAGGTTACTTTCCCTGTTTTTCTCTAATCCAATGCCAAGTAAGATACCAAATGTAGAAGGTGTCCAGCCTACAAAATCTTTCTCTAACAACTTGAATTTCAACTAACTGTGGTGACCTAACATGAAGCCAACAACAGTAGTTGTCATTCACTACTACAAAAAGTTTTGCATGAAATGGGAGACCTGCATCTCTAATAATCCTTTGCCCATAGACTTCCGAAAGTGGCCCAGATGGAACTATTTCCTTCTTTTATGAGCACCATTTTTAACTTTATGATTTATAAAACATAACAAGATAACAAAGCAAATGACTTGGCAGAATTCATGTACAGAGATTGTTTGTAAATAAGAGTGTTTTAATGCATGTTAGTATCATGTTAGGAATGGTGAAAAAGAGACATGAAACCCAATTCACACAAACCCAATTCAAATTAAAGCTCAACCAACATTTCACACAAACCCAATTCAAATTAAAGCTCAACCAAACCCTAGAAAACCAAAGCAGCAAAATTAAGCTTTAGAATCAGCTCAAACAAACTAGCAAACCTTAAAACTGAAACCAAAAAAACAAAACCAATCACGGCAGGAAGTATTCAAGGCGGACGAGATTCTTTGGTAAGAAACGAAATCAAGGGATTCTGACCCAAATACAGAATTAAATAGAGTTGATCTAGGAGGTAGTCATATGCAAATCAATAAAAATTTGAGGAAGGAAAAGGAATTACCTGAGGCGTTGATCTATCGAGAAAGATGATGAAAAGTCTGGTAGATGCGCTTGAGTGGCCGACGACGCGAAGGTGAGGGAGCAGCGAGAGTAGCGAGAGCAGCGGCAGAGTCAGGGCGCTGTCGGTGAGAAGAGAGTGCAGACCAAATTCAATTCAAAATTGAAATTCGGGGGTTTTAGGGTGAAATTGAAATATACGGAATTTACTCATGATAATTACTCAGTTAAAATACATGTATTTCGTTCAAATTCAATTACATTTTATTTAGGTAAAAACAAACAGTGAAATTGAATTTGAGCACTCCAAATTCAAATACACACTGTCAAATTCAAGTTGCCAAACAGAGCATTAAAGTTTTAGATGAATAAAGTGAGTTTCTTTTTATTGAAAAGTGATTGTCTCAATGGAAACGAAAATGTGGGTTATGGTTGCAAAGAAAATAGGCAGAAGTAGTGAATTAATAAAATAATACACACTCAAATTCATGATTTTGGTGATTTTTCTTTCTAAGCTTCTCGCAAATTTTGTCAACAAGTCTGTGTGTCCGTGGTATATAATGGAAAGAATCCCCAGGCATCTTGAGTATCTGAGCCTGTGGCATCCACCCAGTGAGAAATTGGATCAGGTGCAATCTAAGATCCGTAGTTTTAATGATCTGTGTAGACGTGACATAATACTGGGTGAAGAAGGTTCACTTTCACGAGAGAGTTATAATGTTGCACTATCTGCCATTAAAGAAGTTCTGAAGCATTTCTCAAAAAATGTTAGACTCAATACTTCATTGATTAATGCAATTTGTAGCGTTGAGGAGCATTACCAATGAAGTAATACTTCCAGAGACAAAAGCTCTGACCCTAGAGTGACTGGTATAGACAAGGCTCTCCAAAGAGCTGACGCTGGTGGAGAGAGGGAAACTAACAAAGGAAAGGTTAGTAAATAGTTGCCTTTTTTTTTGGTTGCCAACTAGTAGTAACCTGTTGCTGATGGTATACAGAAGTTTTTTATTGAAATGTTTTCACTTACGAAAGGAAGGAAAAAGAGGATAAAAAATTCATGAAATTTTGCTCATTCTTAACATCAGGTGCTTCAGACAGAAGCTGTAAATGTTAGGACTCGAGGGAGCTTTCACCAAATGGTTAGTCACACGCTCATTTCAATCATATTTTTATTTTTGTTAATACTAATATTTTTAAAACAGAACCTTGCTAGTTGACTGATAACTTGCTGGGAACCCTATTTGAGTGCGCAGTTTTTTGACCCCTTTTTTTTTTCCATGTTTACCTTGTAGCAACAGCTCTCGGATATGAGGCCACTGCAGGTGGTACATAATGTTGTGCCATCACAGTTTCACAATATGATGCCAACCATGTTTAACAATGTAACATCAACACATTTGCATGCAGTAGCTGCCACATATTTGCATGAGAATCCACTGCAGCTGTAGCTCAACTTTTACCTTTCTTATCCATTTGGGTTAGGGAATTTGATCCCATGAACAGTGAACTCATCTAAGGAGAGGTATGCATATTTATTAAACTTCATCTTGGCCAGAATTCAGCTTTTACCTTCATTTTGTAAAGATGGTGTAGACATAGGCTACTAGGGCAGTAGATAGGAACGAGCAAGTTTACAGTTTTGCCAGTGCTTTACTCCTTGTAGAAAGCTATTCTGTAGCACATGTATAGCTTGTGAAATCATTACCCTTAAATTAATTGCATCTCTCGTGGTGTCTTACACATTAACTGATTAATCCTTGCTGTATTCTAAAGATTTGAATCCAGAATTTCAAACTGACTGGCTGTACACGTTGAGGTGATCTCTTAAGTCTAAACAACTTCATTTGATTTCAATGTCATTGACTGGCCAGTTATTATAGTATCATTGACCCATTTAATATTGAAGTTATATCTGTTTGCTGACAACAAATGGGAAATTTGAAACTTATTCCCTACAACCCTGAAATCTGTCCATGATTCTCCATTTGGCATCCAAAAAACTTTATCTATAATCTTAATCAAATAATTCACTGTAAAATATAGTGGAAGTTGCTAGAAATGTGAAGGAAATGCTGAAAAACAGGTGGGAGGCTCCTCCTTGAAGGTTGCCATGTCTTGCGCAGCGCACATGCTCAAACATGGGACTAATGGTGCATTTCCTAAAACTTATTCATTTGAAAACAAACTCAGCATGGATTGATTATTGGTTTTGACCCCTTAATTGTCAGCTCACATTGACTAACATTTTCTTCAATTTTCCGTGGGCAGGATCGAAGAGGAAAGGGGGTGGTGGGATTGTGTTGTGAGTTGGATAAGGCTGCACTTGCATTTTGTCCACTTTTTATAGCAGATATAACCCGACTGCTCAAAAGTTTTTTGTTTGAATTATCATTGAATTATGAGACCCCTTTTTATGGACCCAACTTCTTGCAAATGTTACCACATGCCCGATTAATTTCAATCATGTTCCAAAGATTGTTGCCATGATTTTTGTTAATCCATTGCTTAATCATGATTAGAATTTGATTAATTATTGTCACAACTCCAATTAGTTGGATGAACTTTATGCATTAATTTTGTTTCCGATCATCAAAGGTTCCATTATTACATATACTCCGTTAATTAGACATTGTCAAAATTTGTGCAAAATCCGAGGAGAAAATGAAAAATTTTTTAGTACTGTGTTAGACATTTGATTTTGTTTACCCATTTCCTCCTTCCCAACAATGAAGCAGGGCATCTTGTGGATAAGATATGGTTTTTGCAGTAGCATTACTTTCCTTCACTTGCCTTGTCGGATTCTGATTCTCCATAGTTTTTTTAGTATTAATTTTTCGGTATCTGATAATCACATTAAATCTCAATTAATTTGAAATCGAATCGCGTTGAATTTAATTAAGGAAAAACTCTCTCAACACTTATTTCTTCATTCACAAAACTCAAATTTAAAATCTTATTTAAGAAAAATCGAACTCTTTTCACTCGGATCAATATTTCGTTTATTTGATTCCCCATAGTTACATCCATATTATTGCAGATTTCATGCTAGTCTCTATACAAGTTTCATATCTCTGGATGGCATAATAACCATTTCCTGGTTTGAATTTTTTTTTTTTAAATATCAAGACTTGAAATTAAATTTTAAATTTATAATTAAGAATATACAATCAACTCTATTACCACATCACAGCCAAAGCTTATCCTTTTGCCAAACTTGAGCTGTTATTCTCAGTTATTAGTTTCATTTCACCTCTTTCTTTTACTCTTAATGCGGCACCTACATGCATTATTGTCGAATTTTGGAGCTGTTCATTTAATTCCATTTTGGATGAATATGCATTTCATTTTATTCCCAAAAGTACACATATATATTACATTTTTTTCATTTTTCTATTTACAAGCTGTACTCATCACTGACTGCATGCATACATAGTAAATTAGTAATGTCTATGTAAGGACAATCATTCCTATCAAGAAGAGTACTTCAGTAATTAAAATATACTGTAATGATGTAATTATAATATTTGAATCCTTTAAAAGATTAATGCATAAATAATAATTCATAAATATTTTACCTCCAAGCATAAATAGTTTGCAATTGACCGGACTGATTAATTTGAAGCTGCATCCAATAAAATGATTCAAATTAAAAAACTATCTGTTACATGAACTAATGCTAATTGGTGTTAAAGAAATCTCCATGATATTTTTTAGATTTTTTAACAAAATTTTAAAATATAAATTAAGAGTGTAATTATTATATTTTTATATTAATTAATATTAAAAGATAAAATTAATATTTATTTAAATAATTAATTAATTAATATAATATACATGACATTAATAATAAAATTAATAATAATTTATATATTAAAAAATAAAATAATTACATTATTAATTTATACCTTTGTAATTTTTTTTTTATTTTAAACAAGGTAATTGGAGAGAATAAGAAACATGATTTATGAAGTTTAAAATCAGAACTTACATAAGGTGATCTTTATTAAACCAAAAAATTTGACCATTAGAGGGAAGCATTGGGATCAATTTACGTGATTAGTCCTGAAAAAGCAATTAAACAATAAAAAACGGAGGAATAAAGGATTTGACGTGGCATATGATTTCTATCTCTCTTTTTTATTTTATTTTATTTTATTTTTTATAATAAGCAATGGATGTGGCATATAATTTCATTATACAATTTTCTCACAACACCACAATACCACGTAAATTTATGAATATGTCTGTTTACACCATAAATTACAAAATTTTAAATTAATATCACATGTAAAATATTTTTTATTGGTTGGAGGAGTTTGAGCAATATCAGATTCGGATTTTGAGCCCCATGATAGATCAGCACTTGTGTTGGCAAAATAGGAGAGGTAAAGATAATTTTTTATGGAGTAATTATCTTCTTGATATAGAAAGGGATAATGGGAGCTAGAAAATAGGAGAAAATCACAGTTAAAAAGGGGGTTTTATCTGATAAGAGTACAGGCGGCGAAATCTGAAAAGGGATTAGACTAGGTCAAAAGGTGAGATGTCCCACTACTTCAAAAAACCACCCATGATTGAGTAACTGCAGAAAATGGAAGTTACTGTCGGCACATGGAGAACAAAAAGGAAATTTTGGAAGGGAGAACACACGGCTAGCCCTACTCAAACATCAGCAAATTTTCATACTTTTATTTTCTTTGCAATCTGCTTCCAGATTTCGAATTTCAGCACAGATTCCATTAGAATTAGGTTGTTTTTCATCATTTCAGTAGGTAAATTAATTCATGTATTCAGTTCAACAATTTCCTTTCATGCAATGAACTTCAATCCTTCAAGTTTATGCAAGATATTGTTCTCTTTTCATTTGTAATTAATTTAATGTTTATTTTAAGTAGCATTGCTTCAATGATTACTTGTGTGGCTTTCATGCTTCTTTCCAACTTCAATTTCTTCAATTTATTCACTATTCACGTTTAATTTTAGTGCTAATTAGGGTTAAATTTACAATTCTGCAGCAATTTAACTTCCAAATTTGTCAATATATAGCATTTTAATTTTACCATAAGCATGTCTAATTTAATTTGGGTACATTTATTTCTTGCAA